GAGTCACTTAACTGATTCATCCTTGAAGGTAACTGATCAATAGGCTTTCACTTAACAGCAAACCGAAACGCTACAAACCCTAAAGATCCAGAACCCTTTTTTTTTCTAGTTTAATTTCAAGTCCTCCAGCTGTCTACTTATTTAACTGCTTATGCCGTAATGAAGTTTTCAACTTGTGGATTTGGCCTCGATACTGCAAAATCATTGTGGTTCTTATCTGCCTAAAAGCAGAAAGATTTTCTTAGGCAGCAAGAACCACTATTGGCAAAGAAACAGCACCCAGGTATGGCAGGCAGTCCTCTGATCAGCGCCCCTTCTCTCCCTCGCACAGGCTGCACGTTAGCCGCTCTCACAATCTCTCCCAAGTAGAGCACGTTCATTCCACAAGGGAGTTTCCTCCTGGTTCATGCCCAGGCAATGTTCCTGCCTTGCTGCTTGAGTATCTTTTCTGGAGATTCCAGAATCTGTACTCTGTGTGTGTGAAAACATGTCCAAGGACTTAATCTAAAATGCATACTATACAGATACACATAGTAACTTTCTTACACTGTTCTTTACAGCTTTGGAAAACTTCCACAGATCTCACAATTAAATGCTTCAACTAACAGTTTCTGACTCCAAAGCGCATGCTCCTACCACTTTACCAAATTGCCTCTCTACGAATAATCAGGTAAAGAGTTCCTAAATACATTTTCTTGAAGGAATTCTGGCTATTTCCTAACCCTAAATCAACTAGAATACAGTGGGGGGTCAATAAAAAAATTTTTTTTTTAAATTACATTTTATATTTTAGAGCAGTTTTAAGTTCACAGCAAAACTGAGCCGGATTCAGATTTTCCTATCACTCCAGTTTCCCCACAAGCGCAGCCTCCCATTATCCACATCCTCCAGAAAGTGGTCTGTTTGTTACAACTGAGGGACTGAGACTGGCGTAATTAGCACCCAAACTCCATAGCTAACATTAGGGTTCACTCTTGGTAGTGTACATTCTACGGGTTTGGACAAATGTATAATGAAATGAATCTTATAATAGCTTATAGGGTCGTTTCACTGCCCTAAAAATCCTCTGCTCTGTGCTGCTCCGAGGCATGGCTTAAAAAGGCCAAGAAAATGTGCAACCAGAGGCCGAGTTTGAACCAAACTCCAAGCCAAGTTTGTTCCCAAGTTCAGCCAGCGACTGCTAGCTGTCCCACTTTTCCAAGTCCGGCGGGGGGGGCAGGTTGCTGCTGCTCCTCCTCCTTTTGTTTAAGTGTCAAGCAAATGGGTTTCCTGTTGACACCGGAATACTGTGAAAGGACAGGAAGAGGCCAGGCCAGCTCCTCTTTCGCCCCTTCCCATCCCGTTTATTTATTTTGCCCGCGTTTGTTTGGGTCCGGCGGAAGGTTCCAGCGCGTGCGGCCGTGGGGCGGCCCCGCTGGCCCGTAACCCCTCCCCGCGGAGGCGAGGCCCGGCCAGAACCCGCCCGATCCCCGGCTGCGGCTCCGCGGGGCGGGGCAGGGAAAGAGGAAGGGGTCCTGGAGCGGGAGAGCGGGCCGGCAGCCGGAGGCCGCGGAGCGCCGCGAGGAGGCGGGGAAGCCGGCTCGGCGCGCGCCAGGCCGCTCCCCCGCGGGCGGCAGGTGGAGTCCGCAGAGGTAGCCGTTCCCGCGGCCGCCGCCTCCGCTGTCTCCCCGCCGGGCCCGCCTGCCAGGCCCCCAGGGCGCCGGCGTGGGACCCAGGTGCTCGCGGCCCCGGCGTCGGGGCCGCAGCTCGCCCGTCGCGCCCCGGCTGCGCCCCCGCGCGTCGCCCATGGCTGAGGGCCGGCGGCGGGAAGACGAGGAGGAAGAGCTGCGCGAGCGCCGAGAGCTCGCGGGCCCCCGCCGCGCCCGGGGCCGCGCGCTGTCGGGCCACTCGGCCGCAGGTGAGGGGCGCGCGAGGGGGCGCGGGAGCGAGGGCTGGGCGCCGGGCCCTGCCCACAGGTGGCGGCTCCTGCACCCGCCCCGACGGGACGGGCGCCTAACCGAGCGGGAGGGACAGTGGCCTTTCCATCTTCACTTTCGGGCCGAGCCTGAGGAGATTCGAACTGGTCTGTACCTGCCAGTGGCTCTGCAGCCGAAACTACGTATTTCCTTGCCAATTAAATCCATGAGTGATTTGGAACTCGGGGCGGGGTGATTACCCTTCTTCGGGTGAGTCAGAGGCCGCCGAGGTCGCTGGCTCTAGCAGCGCTGTGGGGAACGACCCCTCCCAGTAGGTTTGCCGGCGCCTCCGCCCCCACGTCGAACCACGTGCTGATCATCCAATCTGCTTTCCACGTCTCTTGAACTTCGGACCTGTGCCTCTCCCTACCCCCCAACGCCGCAACTCACCAGTTTTCTCTAGGACTTACTTTTGGGTTATTTTGTGAGCCCCAGTCTAGAATGCAGCGTGCGAAAAGGCAGTTCATTTGGACTGACAGTCATTTCTGGCCCTATAATTACTTTTATGACCTTGCGTTTTGGGGTGCACAACGGAGGCACAGATCAGTAGTTTGGCGCAAAAGTGAAAGAATGGGTAAGTGCAGATCCACACCCGTTTGTTCCCTCCAACCGGGAAAGCTTTTCAATCAGACATAACAGGAAATTCTTTGGTCTTTGATTCCAATTGGATCAGCCAGTTATCTGAGAACAGGTGGGAAGACCAAATCTAGGAAAAGGACAACAAAAGGGAGATAGAGAAATGAGAAGGATTCAGATGAAAACGACTCATTTAAGCCTCTTTAGAAAGTGGAACATAGTGGACATTCCATCAAGCCATGGAGGAGCTGTTATATGTGGCTCCCCTAACCTAGAAGAAAGTTGGAGAATTCAGAGAAGATTATGTGTCTTTGGGGAACAACTGGAGGGTGGAATGCAAATGAAAGAAGTTGAGTGAAACATGAAGAAATAGTTGATTTGATGTCCTTGGTAGGATCTTGGAACCTTAAAAATATTTCCTTATGCCCATAACTAGGACTTTCTATCAAAATAAGGCAAAAAAAATTTAGAATGTTTGATTATCTTGATCTAGGTGATGGTTACATGACCATATAAGCATTTCAAAATGCATTTAGCTCTACACTGATTTGTGGGTTTTTTTGTATATACCCCAATAAAAAAAAACCAGCCATTTTGAAAATAATCGATAGTTTTATTCAGTATAGACCAAACCTAATTGAAATAGTGGGTAATTGCTGGATATGAGTAAATATTTCTTTCAAGAATACAACGAAAAAACTTTACAAAGATGTACCGACATTGAATTACTGATTGAACAGTATAAGCTACTTGGATTCCAGTTACCTTCAGCAAAAAGTTTCCGTCGCCCTTATTATGGACTGTACTGTGAAGACCTCTATTGGCAGTAGAAAAGATACGATCTAGATACATATTTATCATTTAGTTGCAATATGTGTCTTTATTCCAAGGCTGGTGGAAATGGCATTTTGTAACTTGTTTTTACAGTTCCTTAATTTCCCAAGGCTGGCAGAAGCTTTTCTAGGTTTTCTGATAATATTTTGCAAGACATGACATTATGTGCTTTTTCACTTGGAAATTGTTATGCTCTTGTCTCCTTTAAGGGGTGAGACCCAGAGATATTAAGGAGTGGGTAGAGGGTTAAACTTGTCATTATTGATCTTCTTTCTTTTCGGTTACATTATTTAATAGTTGACATTTCTTTACAAGTTGAGCTCCTCTTTCCCCTTACTAGTTGGCATGTTTTTCAGACACCATGACATTCCATTACCAAGCTTGGGCATCTGTTAGTAATGTTTGTGCTAGATGTTCTGAGTCCAAGTGAGAGAGTATGAACTGGCCCAGAGGCTTAATGTTTCATCTGCTTAATGTCTGTCTTTCTAATCTTTCACCTTTCATGTTCTCTCTTCCTCCTTCCCCCTACAACTTGGCAATCTAAAGATGTTCTTTTTCTTTGCTAAGAAGAGAAAGAAACAGCTTGGCATCATAAACTTGGGGTTTATGGACAGGAGGGAGTCTCTGAACTCCTTTTCTTCCCACTAAATTTAGGTCTACTTGTGGAAGTGCATTTATTTATTTTCACAATGTACGTTCCGAAGAGTGTATAAAATGTATAAATTATAAAGTAAAACTCTTGTAACCTGTACTCAAGTCAAGAAGTAGAATATTGTCAGTTCCCTAGAAGCAGACTTGGATCCTTCCAGTCCTGGCATCTTCCTTCCCCTCGAGGGAATCACTTCTTTGACTTTTGTAATTATCATGTCCTTGTTTTTCTGCACAGTTTCATGTATGTGCAGATGTATACACCTATGCACCTGTACAATGTTACTTAGTTTTACCTGTTTTACAACTTCATAACAGGGGAATCATCCTGCACTTATTCTTTAGTGTTATGCTTTTTTCACTAGGTACTAAGTTTGTAAGATTCATCCACATTGTTACATGAAGCTATAGTTTGTTTTTATTCTATCAATATATCACACTCTTTGTCTACAATGTTGTATTGATTTAAGGGGTCAGAGTTCTTTACACAGGAATCTCAGCCTTTGTTGTTTGCACGTGTTGCAGATTATCTTCTTCCACTGTGGTGATTATTTTTAAAATTTTCTAATTGTTTTCTTGATGTGGAAATTCTTAATGTAGGTGCATTTATGGATCTTTTTATAGTTGATATCCTCCTTGTTTTTCTGCACAGTTTCATGTATGTGCAGATGTATACACCTATGCACCTGTACAATGTTACTTAGTTTTACCTGTTTTACAACTTCATAACAGGGGAATCATCCTGCACTTATTCTTTAGTGTTATGCTTTTTTCACTAGGTACTAAGTTTGTAAGATTCATCCACATTGTTACATGAAGCTATAGTTTGTTTTTATTCTATCAATATATCACACTCTTTGTCTACAATGTTGTATTGATTTAAGGGGTCAGAGTTCTTTACACAGGAATCTCAGCCTTTGTTGGTTGCACATGTTGCAGATTATCTTCCACTGTGGTGATTATTTTTAAAATTTTCTAATTGTTTTCTTGATGTGGAAATTCTTAATGTAGGTGCATTTATGGATCTTTTTATAGTTGATATCCCTTCTCCCCTCACTGTCTCCCTTGGTTAAGCATGCTTTCCCTATCCCAAGTTCATGAAGATATTCTCCCATATCTCCCGTATTGTCTCCTTCAAGTTTTGTAGCTTTCTTTGGAGAGAGATGCCACAGCTTTCGTCAGACTCTCAAACCAATCTGAGAAGCTGTGACTGACCTACAGCATTTTTGTATTGTTTCTCCAAAGAGCAGGGAATACAAAATTCCAGGCCCTTGGCTAATCACCAAAAAGAGCAGTAGGCATTTAATAGAATCTAATAATATTTAAAAATATTGCTCTGTGTTGATTTCTTGATGGTAAACTCTGGGAGGACTGATACAACTTCTCTGTTGTGTTTTGAGTAAAATAACTCATATTATTAGTATAAGGGCACAGAATAAAATTTGTGGTGGTCACTGAGAGCCAGGTGCTTTTTATATGTTATCCCCTGTGAAGTAGGTATTATTTTCTCCCTGTCATAGGTGAAAAGATTGGGACTCAGAATATTTAACTTGCCCAACGTCTCTCAGCTAACAAGTGGCAGAATGGGACCTTGAATCCAGGTCTTTTTGACCAGGAAGTTGATGTTTTTCCTAAGATAGCCTACTGGTTGCTAATAAAAGTCAGTTGCTACTAATACTCCACATCTGTATACCTGTATGTTGCTTGTCATATTTTAGAAATACTATACATTTATCTGGTATTTTTCTGCCTAGGAATGGCTTTCAGAGCCTCATTTAACTTGACTCGTAAAACAACCTGAGTAGAAAGAGGGTATGTTTTATTACTCCCATTTTAAAGATGAGTAAATTGAGACTCAGAAATGTTAGAGACTTAATCTAAAATAACACAACTAGGTATAGCTGCACCTCAATTATCTCTATTGTGTGTTTTATGTCATAAACTATAGTTTCTCTGAGTTGATTCATATTACATGCTAGGTCATATGGCCCAGAGTTTGCAGTTCTAATGTTAATTAGTTTTGAAAACTGTATTGTTGTTCTGGGCCACCATCTTGTTTTTGTTACTAGAATTCCAAAGTCATCTAATTTATTTTGAGTTATTTTAAGTTCCATGGAAACTATGGATATATTTACACATTGTTTAAAGACCCTGCACCCACCAGGTTCTTTAAGAAGAGCTGTCTAGTTATCACCAGTAACATAATGTATGCCAAATGGTGTAGAAAATAAAAGGAATACAAAGAGATATGTAAATAGGCTCTCTGCTTTTAAAGAACATGTCATTAAAGTAGGGACAGTAATATTACTACCCTTTAAAGAAGGTAAATAAGAATGTAAAGTGATTGCTACAAGGTGACTGTCAAATGGAGTTTAGCATAAGTGAACCAGACTGTCTTGGTTCATTTCTCAGCTCACCTCTTACTTGAACAAGTTACTTAACCTCTCTGTGCTCCCATTCTTTATTTGTAAAATGGAAGTATTAATAAAATCTACTGCATGGGGTTTGAGGATTAAATGAGTTAGTGTATGTGATACCCTCAGAACATGGCTAGACACATAGTGAATACCTATAAAGTTATTAGCATTTATTTTTTGTTATTGTTAAAATAGCTGATAGTGAGACTACATTTTTCTTCATTTGGAAATAATTAAGGGGTTTAAAGTTGGCGAAGAAAAAGGAGGTAAGCCTGCATCTTCACCATTTCATCGTCAAATGTAGTTGCTTTGCTTTGGAATTCATACATCTCTGGGAAATACATCAATCCTACAGGAACCCTTAAGACTGAGACAGGTTTCATTTGGCATTCCTTGTGCCATACAAACTATTTTAACGTGGCTTGTTTACTTTCTCTCCATCATCACACATGGAAAGCTCATTCTTTCAGCAAATCAGAGGTAAGTTGATCTTAAATCCTATTTTTAACCCACGTGCGTCATCTGTTTCTTTTTTTTTTGACTTTAACATTATTCATCCAGTGCTGATGTAACTTAATTGGCGTATTATATTCTGGATGCAACATAGTCATTCTTTCCCTCAGATCATTTCAGCTTTACTTTCAGTGGTAGAAATGAATCCTCTGAACACCTGGGTTCTAATCAAGTTTCTATTAGTTCAGCTACTAGTGATTTACAGTATCTTTCTGGGCCTTAGTTTTTGCCTTATTAATTGAAAGGATGAGGCTTCCAACTGTACATTTTCTGATTCTAGTTGCTGAAGAGAAAAATAACTTCAGACTTGTTCTACAGAAGTTTGCCAGAGTGCAAGGTCAGCTCTTGGGGGATTTCTCGGGGCTCCTTGTGAAGTGCTGTACTGATGAGGAAGAAGCCAAAGGTGCAAAGCTCATTGACATTACCTCTCACCATGAGGGGGTGGTTATATTACCTTAGGTTGTCCTGCAGGCCATTTGCAAGATAAGAACTTCACTGATAAAGTGATGATGTCTCACTTCATTGATGGAAAACATGGGGTGTGTTCTAGAAGGATTTATAGGAATGAACATGAGTATGATGGAAATGTTATCAATTAAGTACAAGACAAAATAGATGTTTGGTAGCTTCAAAGCAGAGCAGAGCTACGAGAACCAGGTTAAGTTTGGGAAGGAAGTGAATATAGTCTACCGAGGGCAGGAAGGAGGTATTGCTGTCTTGTTTATAAGAAGGTAGAATGTCAATTCCTGTGCTTCAGCAGCTCTAGGCCTCACCTCTAAGAGCTCTAAGCCTGCGCTTGGGGTGAAAACAGGTGCATGGGTCAGGGTGGAGGGTACAGGCAATAGACCATTCTTTTTCTTTTTTTAAATATACTTTGTGCTTTAGAATCGTTTTAGATTCACAGAAACATATGAAGATTGTACAGAGTTCCATGTACCCTGCATCCAGTTTCCCCTGTTATTAGCATTATACATTAGTGTAGTCCATGTGTTACAATGAATGAACCAATATTGATATGTTATTAACTGAAGTCCATACTTCATTCATATTTCCTTAGTTTCACCTAATTTCCTTCGTGCTTTGCAGGATCCCTACATTGCATATAGTTGTCGTGTCTCCCAGGCTCCTCGTGGTCATGATAGTTGCTCACATTGTCCTTGTTTTGATGCCCGTGACTGTGCTGATGAGTACTGGTCAGCTATTTTGTAGATTGTCACTTTTGGGGATTTGTCTGATGTTTTCTCATGTTTAGACTGAGATTGTGTGTGTTTTGTAGATGTGGGTGTTTAGCAGGGGCAAAGTATCATTTTTATCATATACTAAGGGTACATAATATTACTACTGATATTGACTTTGATCACCTGAGGTAGTGTTTGTCAGGTTTCTCTGCTCCGTGGTTACCTCCCCACCCTCTCCATATTGTAGGAACTGAAGGAAGTCACTGCGCATAGCCCACACTTAAGGAGTGAGGATTATGATCCACCGTGAGGGTAGAGTATCTACATAAATTTTTTGGAATTCTTCTGCATAGGAGATTTCATTCTGTTTTACTCTTTCCTTAGTTTCTTCAGGCTCTCCAAATATCTTCATTGGAACTATCTTTGCACCCTGCTTATTGGAGAATGTAAATTCAATTCCTCCACCCTATTTCTGTCCTGAATATCTGATATGTGCTGATATCTGGCACATAATTTCATTTCATAATTAGAAGGGACAATGTGGATAAAGTGAAGATTCCTATGGCCAGGATTCTCATCTGCCCTGATCGGCTACCTCATTACACACGTGTGGGCAATGCGTTGTTATTGACTCCATATAAAGAGCTCTGCCCAGTGCTCTGGGGGACACAGTGGCACGGCTTCAAGGCTACACTACAGGAGAGCAGAAATGAGACTGGAGTGGTGGCAGCGCCGAGGACTGAGACTGAGACAGCTGCAAGGATAGAGGCCAGAGGCAAGGACTGGCTTGCTGCATGCAGACTCCCTCTGAGTGGACGGGATTCTAGTGATTGACTTGCCACTGTGGAAATAAAGTTGGTTATAAATCCTTTTACCCCAAGAACGTTTCCCTGTCATTTCTTTGGTCTCACTGAATCCATAGTGAACTTGTCCGGTTCTGAAACCCATTGGCAAGACAGAAAGGCATGAAATACATGTATCTGATTGAAGTGGTCTATGATTAAAACTCATTCACACTGGAGTATCAACAGGTACAAAGGATTAATATGAATTCCTTTTCAACTTTTGGGAATGGAGAAGAAGTTAGAGTAGGAGAGGAATTTGGAAAGTCACTGGACTAGGATAATCAAATACTAATGAGTTAATAATTATGCTTTCTGGGTGCCAGGTAGTCTAATTGTTTAACATGTATTTTTCTCATTTAATCCTCGTGCCAATCCTATCAGATAAATGTGATGATTTCCTTCATTTTTCTTCGTTTCCTTCATTAGGAAACTGAGGCCTAGAGGTCACTGTCACATAGCTCACTGTGTGACACACACAGCATAGGATTCTGTGGCAGAGACTTCTGGTTGCTTCTAGAGACTACAACCCAATATTCATTCCCTTCTTTAGTCAGGGGAACCTGTATTGTTGAATGTATTAATAATGCTCCCCCTGTGAAACTACACCCAGTCTGCTAATGGGATGCAAGTAAAAGTTGTTGAGTGGGGTTTCAAGTTCTTTAGGGGACTCAGCTGCCCAGGATATCCTTTTGCCCTCATCCTCTTCCTTTCATCTCCTGGGAACAAGCATATGTAGCTCACAGAGGCCATCCTGGGCCATAAGGTTACCTTGAGGATGGAAGCCATGCACTCAGAACAGTGCACAGGAAAAGATTTGGAATCTGAGTTCCCAGTGATAATAGAGTCATCATATGAACTTTTGATCGCCTGCCTCCTCTGTTACTTGAGAAAAAACAGAGTGTGGATAAAATGAAGGTTCCTATGGCCAGGGTTCTCACCTGGCCCTGGTTGGCTAGCTCACTACACATATGTGGGGAATACGTTGGTATTAACTCTATATAAAAAGCCCTGCCCAGTGCTCTGGGTGACACGGTGGCACGGCTGCAGGAGAGCAGAGATGAGACTGGAGTGTTGGCAGTGCCAAGGACAGAGTGAGATGGCCGCGTGGGTAGAGAGGCCCAGAGGCAGAGACCACCTTGCTGCATGCAGACTCATTCTGAGGAGACAGGATTCTAGTGATTGACCTGCCACTGTGGAAATAAAGTTGGGTATAACCCTTTCACCCCAACAACATTTTACTGTCATTTCTTTGTCACATTGAATCCATAGTGAACTTGCCTGGGGCTGAGACCCCTTGGCAAGACAGACAGACTCTGGTCTAAGCCACTGTGTAAGTAACTGATACAAACTCTAACTTAATCTTGTTTCTCTTTCCTTCCCACTAGGCTGTAATGCATTTTGCTGATGTTAGATCACCTTAGGATACCTAGATTCTTGTTGCTATTTTGTACTTTCTTATAATGTGACCTTGGACAAATCACTTTAAAAGCATCTTGAGCATCTTTTGAATGGGAATGATTCATTCTCTATTTTCAAAGTTAATTATGGGGAACATGCTTGTAGAATTTGAGTTCTTGTAGGTCTTGAAGGGGTCATGGGATCTCCTCCTTGGACAAGTTCAAGCGTACTGAAAAAAAACCCTGCAAAATCTGAAAAGTTTTTTAATTTTGCCATTTTTCTTAGGGCCAGGTCTGAATACTTTGGAGGGAATAAATGAATAGAGCTGTGAAAGGAGGTGATTTTTGTCTCTCCTTTGATGCATCTGAGCAGATTTGACAGTCACATTGCTGATGAGCCCTGTAATGCATGCCAGGGCTGCTGCTTAGGATTCAAAAGTTTGATTGTTTTCAGTATGATTGTCTTCATTGATTCCTGAAGATGCATTAATCAAGGAATTGCTATGCTGGATGGTAGCTAAATGCTTTTTTTCTGAGAAGTGGCCAAGAACAAAGGGCACAGAAGAAAATGTGCCCACAATATGTGGAGAATTAGTTTTTCCAGCAATAAATACTGGCATTTCCAAATAGTCCAGACAGTACTACAGGGGTGTTCGCAAAAACCTGGAAGGCTCCCCAGCATGGGGCACCCCTGAAAATGATCTGCTTGTCACCGCACCCCTTGTTTCATTATTTTTTCACAAGGACTACCCCTCAATACACATTAGCTTAGTGGAGACAACTGTAGGGGTGTGAAGATGACAAGGCAGATTTGTGTTATGCAGCTGAGGTGTAACTATTGCCACTGGAGGGTGTGGTTTGTAAGTGGAATTTGTTCAGAATAAGGAGTGGTACTGCAGGTTTTAAAATGTACTGACTTGCATTTGATGTTACTTTGAATTAGATGCCTAATAACATGAAATGCCTAATATCACATTTTATCTCTTATGCATTCTATTCCTATTAATAGAAAATTTCTTGAGGTATTTGATTTTATTACATGGGGACATCTCTCACATTTCTGTAGCAGTAGGACCTCTTACAGTGCCTCAAACTTTAATATGTCTACAGATTACTTAGAGGTCTTATAAAAATGCAGATTTTGATTTAGTAGGTTTGGGTGGAGTTTAAAATTCTGCATTTCTAACAAGCTCCAGGTGTTGCTACTAGTCCCTGGCCCACACTTTGACCACCAAGCCCTCAGCATCTTTACTTTAGTGCTGGGTTCTCAAGGCTGGCTGGACATCAGAATCAGCTGGGGAGCTTAGAAAACAATACACTCAAGACCCCATCCTCAGGTTTCCTGATTAATTACTTCTGGAATAGTTGCTGGGGGCTGGATTTTTGAAGTTCTTTATTAGGTGAGACTCACGGGCTTAGGGTCCTATTAAAAAATGTGATGTTGAGTGGTTTCAGTGTGATTTCTTATAATTTGAACGGTTCGTTTTTCTGTCATAAGTAATTCGTATTGTGATGACTTGTAGTCAAACAATAAACAAACAGAATCCACCATGCATTTTATACATGTATTTTATTCAGTTCTCTGTTATCTTCTAGCCTGAGAACGCTCCACATAAAGATTGGTTTGAGTAGCTGTCACTGAACCAGAAAGCAATGAATGTGGTAGTTACATTCTTTCAGATTGGGCCTGTTCTGCTAACCTCAGCTGATAGAGGCTTATTAAATTAAGACTATATGGTAAGTTTGAAGACACAGGAAGTACCCTCAGAAGTCATTTGGAAATAAAGTAGCTCTGGGAAACACAGCAAATACTACTCTAGAGAATATTTCTTTGTTGTTACGGGAAAAACTGAAGTCCCTATGGCCAGGATCCTCACCTGTACCTAAACTACTTGATGATGTAACTGGCCTGCTGCTAGGCTACTGCTTCCACACCTGTAGGCAATAAGCTATTGACTGAGTCACTATACAAAGAGCTCTGCCCAGTGCTCCAGGTGGGAGGCAGAGAGAAGGAGGATTGCAGACTTGCAGTCTGTTGGATGCTGTGGATAAAACGAAAGTTCCTGTGGCCAGGATTCTCACCTGGCCCTGGTTGGCTGGCTCACTGTGCACATGTGGGCAATGCATCATTATTGATTCTATATAAAGAGCTCTGCCCAGTGCTCTGGGTGACATGGTGGCATGGCTGCAAGTCTGCAGAAGAGCAGAGCAGAGGCTGGAGTGGTGGCAGTGCCGAGGACAGAGGCCCAGAGGATGGCTGTGCAGGCAGAGACTGGCTTGTTGCACACAGACTCGCTCTGAGTGGATGGGATTTTAGCGAACGACCTGCTACCGAGGAAATAAAACAGGGTATGACCCTTTCACTCCAAGAACGTTCTACTGTCATTTATTTGGTCACACTGAATCCATAATGAACTTGCCCGAGGCTGAAACCCATTGGCAAGACAGATGCAGATGTAATTCTAGTGTTCGACCTATTGCTGGGAGTACAAGCCAGGTAATAAACCCCTTTACCCCAAGAATGTTCCATTGTTTTTCCACAGTCTCAGTTAATCAATAGTGAACTTGCGCAGGGCTGAAGCCCATTAGCAAGACAGTTGTGATGACTGTTATTCCTTATGTCAGTGACATCATCATTTTTGTGACTCAGTTTACCTCGGCTTCCATGGCTTCTGAATGTACTGAATCATTTGCACTTCTATTTTTTTATAGTCAGCCTCCCTGAGAAAGAGGCTCTAAGTAGGTTGTCCAGCCAGCATCCAGCACAGGGTGCCCCCTTTGGGCAGAGTTCTCATGCCAGTTTACCTCAGAGGCCTATGGCAAACTTACAGATGGCTAACTTTTCAGACCCATCCTTGGTGCCTTCTGGTGGAGAACGCTAGGGTCCTGTGATGCCCACTTGGCCTCTAGCATGCCGGATTTGAGAATTGTTTGCAGCTGCTTCTGGCAGGTGGGACTCTGGGTGGGTGGGAGGTAGTCTGAGTTTTTCTTAGAATGGAGAGAGGGTACAATTGGAAGACGCTATGCATGAGCTGAGCACTCTGACGTTCAGTAATGAGTTCCGTGAGAGAAGACACTTGCTTTGTTCACTGTTACAGCCCCATAACTCAGAACAGTGCCAGGCATGTACCTTCAACACATGTGTCAAATTGTGAATTCTTAAGAGGTGATTGAAAATAGTCTCTATTGTTTTATTGCATTTTATTCTGCTGTTTACTTTTTTTATTAAGGTATCATTGACATACAATCTTACGAAGGTTTCACATGAGCAACTTTGTGGTCACTACATTCACCCATATTACTGAGTACCCCGACACCCCATTGTGGTCACTGTCCATCAGCATAGCAAGGTGCCAGAGAGTCACTACTTGTCTTCTCTGTGCTACACTGTCTTCCCTGTGACACCCCCCCCCCCACATCATGTGTGCCAATTATGATACCCCTCAATCAGCTTCTCCCTCCCATCCAACCCACCCTCCCCAACCGTTTCTTTTTGGTAACTGCTAGTCCCTTCTTGGAGTCTGTGAGTCTGCTGCTGTTTTGTTCCTTCAGTTTTTTTTTTTTTGGTATCATTAATCTACAATTACATGAGGAACATTGTGTTTACTAGACTACCTCCATCACCAAGTCCCCACCAT